CCAATCTGCGGAGCAGTATTCCTACTCTTCTCACGCTTCCTAAACTGTCAGCAAACAGCCCTGACACCGACTATGTCTGTGGAGAAGCTGCCCATGACCTACCTGGACTTGTATTTTGCTGCATTGTTTCAATTGTATGTTCGACTCCAAGGTCCCTTGAGAACTCTATTTATGTATTTAATGCAAAGATCTACAATAGAATAAACAGAGATAATGACTGTATCTTATTTCTCAAATTTTAATTCATTTCATAGTATAAATTATAAATTATGAAATGTGGAATGGCATGATGTTTTGGAAGGGTGCCAAGAATTGAACTGGTGGGTTTTCATATTCTAGAAAAGAGCTCTACCACTGAACTGCATTCCTAGACCTTCTGTTATGTTTGAGACAAAGTGTTTCTCTATGACCTCAATCAAAGCTAATGGTCCTTCTGCCTCAGCTTCCAGAGTTCTGGATTATAGGTGTTAGCTCCCACAAACAGTTTTTACTATGAAATTCTAAATATCCATCTCAAATAGAAGTTCTATAATTAAATGAGCAGAGAATTGTCTTGCTTGTATCTCATTAAAATATGTTTCACTTCCTAAACATGTATATCATCTTTAAAAAATAAATAACAAAATAAATATTCAGTTTGAAATGCTCCAGGAAGTTGTAAAGAAGAAGATGCAAGTAGCCACAGTCCTGGCACACAAATAGTCGCTTGCATGTAGGCTAAAAAGTATTCAGACATTAAAAACATCTGTTTTATCATGTGGTGTATAGAGTGTGTAATTATTTGATGGAAGAACTTTTTGCTGAACATCATCACACTAAAATTTTAGTTTTTCTTGCTTAGTATTGCTGTTTTTAATGGATTTTATGTATTCTATGTGGGTTAATTTGTGATATTTAATATTGTATGAGGTTTTCCATGAGCACATATCTTGATGCACCTTGTCTTGGTTAACATGTGATGCTGATGCTGTGAGCAGCTGATGCTGCTGTAATGCTATATCCCTTTCCACCCTTTTAATGGAACTCTCTTCCAGGTCTCTGTTCAAATATTTTCTTTCAAGAGATGACATTTTCCTTTTAAATTATTTATTCATTTATATTCTTGAAGAAATATTCTCTGAATACTAAGTATTTAATGTATGTATGTAATGCATTCTACTGTTGTATGTGTTAAGATTCATACTGCTCTAAAGTCTGAACTCTGTGAGTGTTAACCAGATGTCACAAGTGGAAACTTCTCCATTTGGTCTCATGTGTGAACAGCAGATAGAACCCTGACATACTGAAAGGACTGAGAAAAAATTTATCTTCTAGTGATGCAGGTGAGATGAGTAAAATGTGGAATAGACTTGCCAGCCCATCCTCATTTTAGCATAAATCAATATCTCTAAACTGAAGAACATTAGAAACCTCAAACACTTCTTTCTAGTCCCAAACCTTTACAGGAAGAGGTGCTCAGCCTACAGTGTGATTTGTCTAAGTACTCCCCATGTGTTAGACAGTAAGTAGTTTCCAATTTCCTACTGCTGGTTTGTATGAAGACTAACAGGTCAGCTCAGTTTATATGTTCAATAGATTTCCAGGTTTGAATCAATATAGCTCTAGAATTGTAAATAAGCAAATTCAAGAAGACCCATGTTTATTTCCTGTAAGTCACTTTCCAGATCTGTCCTCTCACCAGGATTGTGCAATTAGACTCTTTCCTTGAACACTCAGTAATATTGGGTGCTAACATTATTTGTAATATTTGTCATTTAGATGAGTTGAGGAGCCAAGTTACTGCTTTACTTTTACAATAGATATCAATTGAATATTTCTAAATTTTCATGAACTAAATAATCAGGCATGTTATGAGTATTTTGTTTTGAACACTTACTTTTTATTAGCATGAAAGCATTATATTGGCAACACTTCTATCCTAGATCTTCCAGAATGTCAGTGTTGAAGGTAATGTGGGCATCATACATAAAGCCCTCATTTGCAGCTCAGTGTTCTACCAGGTGCTAACATTTGAAGAGTTACAGTCATCTCACTGCTGTTCAGAAAAACATCCTTGGACATTTTCCATAAGTAATTTGATGGTCTGAGTAAATGGGAATACATAATTGTAGATGTAACTGGAGTCCTTGAATATAATTGTACTCATAAGTCAAACAAGACAATTCATAACAATTTGATCCAGCATTTTAATTTTGTCTATTAAATTATTCATATGAATGCTTTTATAAGTTTAGTCATGAATATTTGAATGGTGGTTGATTCATAACTATAAAGTATCTTAGCCTTTTATTTTTCTCATTTACATCCAATTAACTTATATGGAAAGGTAGAGATATTCTTGATGGGAGGCACACCTTTCTTCCACAGACTTACTGAGGCTGTCTGATGGACATTGGTTGTAACTGGAGGTTGACATGGTGCCTGCTTTTATAGTTTCATAAATATCCTAGTAACCCTCATTATGTGGAAGGAAATTATTTTAAATCTCTCTTTTAAATTGAGGAGACGACATTCAGAGAGGTTATATAGTTTTTCAAATGCCACACAGTATTAGGGTGGCTAACAGTGGATTCATATACAGGCTAGTGAAGATTGGGTTTCTCCACACTGCTATGGTACCCACAAGACTCTCTAAGGACTGAAGGCACTGGTAACATAGGCCATATCTCTCCACCTGAACTTCCACACTATTTCATCACCAGGGGAAGTTGTCTGAGTAGATATTTGACATGCTCCTTCCTCCTACACACAAACAACACTTATAATCTTTTGCCTTCTGTACATACACATAAGAAAGCACCTAATTTATAAGTGTGTGCGGTCAGCTGTGGTATCAAAAGGTCCTGCAGAACGGTCTATTTGTGGGGTGTGACTTTCTGGAAGTGGTGGCTATGGGAGTGATGAAATAGTCACAGGACCTGCCCGGGGCCCTTTGGTGCCCTTTGAAGCAAAGCAGAATAAGTCATTTGCCTGATAGCGCTCCTCAGCCAGAAGCCAGCACAGACCTTAAATCATTATCACAAAGAAATCACATCTAGAAACTCAGGAAGTGGGCAACCTGATGACCTTTCAGGACTTTGATCTCCGTTGCCTCGTGTGTATGACTGTCCTGCCTGCACAATGCAAAGGGTTAGTGTATAGCATCGTAGAAGTGAGAGCATCATGATCAGTTTCCTTTTCTAGCACTAATGTCCCTGTATTGGCTGAGGTAAGTGTTTTATGAGAGCCACATCTGGGCCATCATTGATAATGCATTAAATATCACCACAGACAGGCTCAGCATCAGGGAGGTCAGAATAAGCACATTTGTTTGTCTGAGACTTGGATGGCTTCCTGAAATAGCGCCAGGAAGTTGGCATTTTAAAGTCTCCAGATAAATCTAATATTTAACCATTGCTCCTTATAGCCTGCTTGAATAGTCTGAAGTGCAGGTCTAACCAAGATGCTGGAGGCATCTTGAGTCCTGAGTAGAGCACTGCCCTGGCTTTTCTTCTTGACCACTGTTCACCTTCTGTCCTGCCACATGCTATGAGGGTACCCTATGTCATGCTATATCAGAATTATTTATGTCATAAGTCATGGTGATCTGCATCTCCTGCTTTGGATTGAAAACTCTCTGAACACTCTCTTTCCTATACCACTAAAGATTTCCTATTGGATCTCAGCACCATACTCCTCCATTGTGCTGTGTTATTTCTTTACATGTTCATTCATCCCAACACCTATTATGTGTTTTTCGACAGAAACCAAATAACCCAATACGAGCCATGTATAAAGTCACCATTCAGTACCTTAGACAAATAAAGGAGTAATCCAGATACGTGTTTTCACACCACCGTGCTCCAGCTCCCATCTTAACACTATCACAAATAATCGATCTTTCAAAAGTGGCTCCTGTTTTACTTCATTGTAGAGCTAATTTGCTGTTCTTTTACAAACCGCCTTTTACTTTGGTGCTTGCGAACAGAACAATCAGTTCCTACAGCTGTTCTCTGATGTCACTACTTTGATTGCAAAATGCTTTGTACTCACTTTGTTTTGCTGGAGAACCTTAGACCTTGGAAAGAGTTGCTCCTGGGGGTGACTGAGCAAGCTCATCCTTTCCCCAGGACAGAGGTTTGCCTCACTGTTGGTCTTTGACAACTTTGTCTGGACGCTGTGACCTACTATCCTGGGGCAGGTATACAGTAGTGATGTAATGACTGCAGATGCTCACCACTGATGGGTGTTTATAGATGGCCTACACGTTACTGGTTCATGGTTTTCTTTCAAAATTTTTATTCCATGCTGGAGGCTGTCCACAAAGGAAGGATGAAGGGAGAGTATTAATGGTGACGTGGAATTTTAGCATCTGTCCCTGGAGCAGAGACCATCCAGATGGTGTGCAGCTCTCTTCTCTATGGGTTAAGGCTGAAAGCACAGAAGTCTCTATGGCTGGTGACATGAGAGAGAGAGAGAGAGAGAGAGAGAGAGAGAGAGAGAGAGAGAGAGAGAGAGAGCAGACGCCATGGTTCTTTCTGATTTCCAACATGTGCATCTTTCCCAGGAAAGATTCAAATTAAGGGCAGAAGAAAAGAATAGGAGAGATGGAAGGGTGGAGAGCGGGTGCTGAAGAGACATGAACTCTTCAACCCTCCTCTCCTTAGGCAGCTCAGTTAGAGTAGCAGGACTCATAGAACCTCCAGCCCGTTTTCTGTCTTTGATGCCTCAGAATTCACCAGTGATTCAGCTTCGTTTCAACCACCAGGTGCACTGGAGGAGGTCTTTTCTTGGTTCCTGTGTTTAGTGCCTCAAGTGATAGTATAGTTGCCATAACAGGGATCCAGAAAGCCCAGCAGTGGTTGTCGGGGTAAAGAACCTACCAGTCAGTGTGAGGACACCTGGAGGGTGGACCAGGTCTCTTCAGGAAGAATGGTGAGATTCATCAGAACCAGGTAGGAGCAAGAAGCCCCATCCATCTGCATCTGGCTCACTCTGTCCAAACCCTTCACCCCCTGCAGGTGTCTCTACGGTGAGGATGCTACCTGTAGGAACCCTGTTTGAGCCCATGCGGGGCTTCCAGCTGCTTCTGGGACAGGCAGTGGCACTTCTGAGGAAGCGGCTGCTGCATACACTACGAGCCTGGAAAAGCACCACCTCAGACCTGCTGCTGCCGGTGCTCTTTGTGGCCTTGGCCATGGGCTTGTTCATGGTGCAGCCTCTGGCTACCACATACCCTCCTCTCAAACTGACACCTGGGCATTATGAGACTGCGGAAACATACTTTTTCAGGCAAGATACTCTTTTTTGTTGTTTAGAAGTGACTTTGTGGCTGTGTTGGTGTCAGTTAATGAGCTGGTGATGTCGTTCAGCAATGGCATCATTTTTTTCTAATATCAAATAGATTTTCATATAAGGAGTTTGGGGTATAGCTCACAAGTAGAGGAACTGCCTATCCTGGCAAGACCCAGGCTTTGGTCCCTAGGCCCCACTCCCTCTAGTGTTAGTACTTGTATTATTTCTGAAGTCAGAATACACAGGATAATCTGCGAGGCTCTTTTGAGACCTGATTTACAGCAGTTGATGGACAGGCCTGGTCCCAACCTCTGAATCATTGGCTCCTCACAGCAGCCAACCATCCTGTGTGGAAGAGGTTCTGTGTGAGCTTCTAGCTGCCTCACACCTTCCTGCTCTTGATGTCTGCTGCTCCGAGGCTTGCTGATCTTGACCTTTGTGCTTATAGGCTACTGCTCTGCACTCTGGGTCTCCCAGAGGGACAAACAGCATGGGGCTCAGCCACAGTGAATCTATGCTGGGTGCCGGCTGGCTGGTGGACCTAAGACTAGTGCTATCCTGTAAGGACTTGTTTCCAAGAGAGCTCGAGGCCACTGCACGCCACCCTGTCGTCAGTACTGGCCTCCCCACAGCTCATCTGGCATGACTGTTGTACCCGTAGGCTGCTCTGCCCTTTCTTTGTTCCAGCAGGGCAAGCAGCTCTGGCTACATTACAGTGGTTTCATGCTGGGAGCTGGCTAGTGGACTTAGGGCCAGCCCTATTTAGTATTGACCTGTTTCTGCAAGAGCTCCAGTCCAATGCACATGTACCTGTTCTTGGTGCTGGCAGTCCTGTGGCTCACTGGGCATGACCATCGTGCTTGCAACCTGCTGGCTGAGAAACAGAGGTGAAGGGTATAGATTCACTGTGCATGACTCAATCTTTCTTTCTGATTTCTTGAGTCCAATTTTTAAAAAGCATCTTACCATAAGACTTGCCTGTTTTCTTAGCTGTTCCTGAGCTACTGCATACTCTTTGGACTCTTTTGCTGCCTCCATGTTGCCCTTAGACTCTATGGGTCTAGAAGACTTTTTGGAGCTCCTCAGGGGGTGGTGGTAACCATGGCCAATTTTGTTTTCTTCCTCTCTGAATTTTTGAAGCAGGCATCTGTAGGTCTAAGCTTTCTATTCAGAAGTACTTTCAGTGTGCTTTAGGTTTTGATACGTTATGTTTTCAGTTTCCTCCAATGATAGGATTAGAGTTTTCTTGATTTTTCTAATGAATTATTAATTAGTGTGTTGTTCAATCCTATGAGTTTGTGTGGTTTCTATGGTTTCTCTTGCCACTGCTGTCATGTTTTACCTAGTTGCTATTAGATAAAAATACAAGAATTTGTTTCATGGTTTTTATATTCATTAGGCTTGCTTTGTGTTATGCTATATGACCTACTTCAAGGAAAATTTCATATACTATTGCTTATGGCGTTTATTCTCAGTATTTGGATGAGATATTCTATAGATGTCTGCTTAGTTGTTTGATCTATGATGTCACTTACCTCACGTTTCTCTATAGATAAGATGACCCATCTATTGGTAAGAATTTTTTATTAAAGACTTTGGAATTAATTTGTGTCTTTACATACAGTGTTTGTTTTATGAAATTGTGTGTGTCAGTGTTCATTGAACATTGACTTAGAATAGAAGTAGCTTCTTGCTGGGTTGTTTCTTTAGCTAGTATGAATTTACTTTATGACTAATTTTTGTTTGGTGTCTATTTTGTCACATGTGAATAGTGACCCTTGTTTGCTTTATTATTCTATTAGCTTAGAATTCATTTTCTACTTTTTTTTAACTTGAGGTTATATTTGTCTTTAATGGTGAGTTGAATTTCTTGGAGATAACAAATAGATGGGTCCTCATTTTTAACAAAATCTGCTAGTATATATATTCTGTTTAGGGAATGGAGACAGTGTACATTCTGAGATACTATTAAAAGATGCATATTAATTATTGCCTTTTGTTGGCTTGGTAGAACTTGGTTTTATTGATTCTCACTTGATTAACCACTGTTCTATCACAGTTTATTTTTCTTGTAGCTTCATGAATGTGTCCATCTTTCCCTTTTCTCTAAAAGAGGTTTTTATAAGTCACTTATAGAGTGCTTCCTTAATGGACGTGAGTTTTAGATTCTATTTATCATGGAATGTATTCCTTTTAATTCTCCAATTTTTACAGGTAATTTTGCTGAATATAGTAATATAATTTTGTGTGTTTTGTCTTTCAGAGTTTTAAACACATCATTCTAAGCCTGCCTGTGATTCATATGTTTGATCTATTTATCGTTTCCTCAAATTTCTTGTTCTATGTCTACCTTATTATCTTCATAATTGTCAGAATGTTCTATTTCTTCTGCTGTGTCTTCAAAATCCGGTACTTAATCCACTCTGTTAAGCTTTCCAAGCAAATTTCATTGGACTTATTAAACTTTACATTTCTTTATTATTATTATTTAACATTTTATTATGTTACATATTAATCCCAGTTTCCTTTCCCTCCCATTCTCCCATGCCCACCACTGCCCTCCCCATCCCATCCCCCATCCACTCCCCAGGGAGAGTGAGGACTTCCATGAGGGATCATTAAATCTGTCAAGTCATTTGGGGTAGGGCCTTGGCCCTCCCCTGTGTCCCTAGGATAAAGAATTATCCCTCCATGGGGAATGTGCTCCTGAAGTCTGTATACTAGGTATACATCCTGGTTCCACTGCCAGAGGTCCTCATAGACAACCCAGTCCTCCTAGCTGGCACCCATTGCTCAGGTTAACAGGTTTTCCCAACCTGGACTTGACCCATTTGTTTGTCACTCCTCCCTCTCTGAAACTGGATTCCAGGAGTTTGGCTTAGTGCTTAGCTGTGGATCTCTGATTCTGCTTCCATCAGCTACTGGATGAAGGTTCTAAGATGGCATTTAAGGTAGTCAACATTCTCATTATAGGGGAAGAGCATTTAAGGAAGCCTCTTCACTATTGCTTAGATTCCTAGTTGGATTCATTCTTGTGGATCTCTGTACAAATCCCTAGTGCCAGATTTCTCTTTAAACCTATAATGGCTCTTTCTATTGATGTGTGTCTTTTCTTGCTCTCCTTTATTCATCTCTCTACTTAATCTTCCTGATCCCCCATGTTCTCCACCCCGCTTCTTCCCTTCTCTTTCTCCTACCTCCCTTCCCTCTCCCCCCATGCTCCTAATTTGTTTAGGGGCTCTTGTTCCTTTCCCCTTCACCAGGAGACCCTGTATGTCTCTGTTACAGTCCTCCTTATTTCTTAGTTTCTGGGAATACTGGAAATAGAAAAGCTGGATAAACAATCAGGAACTACAGATACATGCATAACCAACATAATACAATAGATGGAAGGGAGAATCTCAGGCACTGACAATAAACTAGAGGAAATAAATTCATCAACCAAAGAAAATCTTAAATCCAACAAGTCCTTAACATAAAATATCCCGGAAATATGGAACACTGTGAAAAGTCCAAACCTAGGAATAATAGGTATAGAAGAAGGCAAAGAAGCCCAGCTCAAAGGTGCAGAAAATATATACAACAAAATCATAGAAGAAAACTTTCCTAACCTGAAAAAGGAAACTTTACATTTCTGTTTCAGCTTTTTAAAAATAAGTCTACTTTTTTTCCTATGAAGTTTACTTTTATGTGCTTCCATACTAACTTTATTATTTCATTCATGGTTCTCTTTGTAGACTTCCATGTATTTTTTTTTTGTCTTCTTAGATTTTTAGATTTCTTTGAACATACTTGCAACCTTTCTTTCTTTCATTTATTTAAAATTATTTTTTGAGACAGGGTTTCTCTGTAGCTTTGGGGTTTATCCTGGAACTGGCTCTGATAACCATTCTTTTGAATTCTTTGTCTTAGATTTTATTGAACACACCCTCATTGGACATTTCTGTGGGGGATCAATATTGTTTTGAGGAGTAATAATGCTTTGAATTTTCACATACTTAGTTTTCCTTTCTAATAATGCTTTGAGTTTTCACATACTTAGTTTTCACATACTTTAGTGTTCTTGTGGGAATGATTTGTAGTTTACCTGACATATTGTTTCTCTTCCCTGAGGATCTTTCTCAATTACTATATCCTCAACCCACATGCTTGTAGCATCAGGGGTCATACCCAGTAATCCCCTGTGTGAAAATGCAATAAAAGTCAATTAAAGTGAAACTGGCCATTCAACTGAACCATTTTAAGAAGGAAAGGGACAGTTATAGTAGAGTATACACTAAATAGTAGTTACTGAGTGTATGTGTGAAAGAAGGAAAGCACAGTAAGACTAGTGATTAGTATGTGATAATAGTAAAAAAAAAAAAAAAAAAAAACCCACTGTGAGTAAACTACAGTAGGGACAGTGGGGGAAATGAGGGGTCTCAGGATGAAGGTAAAATGAGAACAGAAAAATATAAAGGGTTGCAAACCAGAGAAACTTTATCCTTTGGGAAAGCCTATCAAAAGGGACTAAACATAAAAAAGAAACAGAAAGAAAAGGAGGTAGGAAGGAAGGAAGGAAGGAAGGAAAGAAGGAAAGAAGAAAGAGAAGCAGAAAAAAAAGCCAGACAGGGAAAAATAAAGGGAAGAAACAGTGAAGAATACAGGTAGCCTTCTAAATAGACAAGATATTAAAGAAAGGAGAAATGTGAAAGGAAGAGACAGGTCTAAGGCCTCAGAGTAAATGTAGCTACAAAACTGGGTGTTGGATCTGGTTCTGGACTCTTCTGCTTCCAATGGGTGTCAGCTACAGCTGTGTCTTCTTTTACAGGCTGTAGCATAGATGTCATTTACACATTGGTGTGTGTGTGTGTGTGTGTGTGTGTGTGTGTGTGTGTGTGTGTGTGTGTGCGCGTGCGTACATGTGTGTGCATGTGTGTGGTGTGTGTGTGACTATGTGTGTGTCTGTGTGTGTGCCTGTGTGTGTGCATGTGTGTGTTTCTGTGTGTGTGTGTGTAGGTGTGTGTGTGACTGAATTGATTGAAAATGGTGGTCACAGCTCTGGGTGACATTCTACATGGTCCTGTTAGCAAGAGATCTCAGGTTGGGCTATAAATGCTGTTCCATCCCTGGTCCTTTTCAATGTCTGGTACTTGCTTTGACTCTGACTTCAGTTGGATTTCTACCTCGGTTAATTTCTCCCCTGCTGTTCCAAGAGTTCTGCTGGCCAGGTTCTAGTGCATAGTACTGTGACATTTGCTCTGGTTCCCACAGTGTGCTATTCAAGGAAGCTATTCAAGGTCTGGAGGGGGCCAAACCACTGATTCAGTGTGTCAAGAATCTTTTTAAAAACTTGAATCTCATAGGACCAGCAAGGTGACTCAGTGGGTAAAGGCACTTGCCACCAAGTTGGATGACTTAAGTTTGATTTTCAGAACCCACATCATGAAAGGAGAGAACTGATTCCCATAAATTGCATCTCATGGTGTGTGTAATTCCTAAAACAATAAATGTTATAAATTAAATTGAAATTGAAAACTGGCATCACCCAGCTACTCTGGTTGAGTGAGAAGAAAGGGCTTTTTGTATCTCCTTTCCTGCTGTTGCCTTTGCTGTGCGCAAGCTTTTCTTCCCTCCACTCTCCTTTCTGTCACTGAAAATGTGTTGTTGGAAGTACAGAGCAGTTCCTGTCTTCTGTCTTATGCCACGGATTAGTTGCCATCAGCTGCCTCCCTCTCTGTCACTGGGAGGAAAGAGCTCCACAAACCAGTCCAATCACTCGAAGATGGACTTGGGACTTCTACCCTGTTCTGCTTTATAAAAGTCCTTATTTCTCTTTGCTACTGAAGCTAGAACACTTTGGATAACTGTTATCAAATTTACCCAGTTTATTTCCTTGACATTCTGTCCAACTATATTTGTGTGTTATCCACAATCTTAAAAGTCTTCTATATTTTATAAGTTTTCCAGTTCTGAGTTGTAATCAAATGAGATGAACCCTACTATCTATTATTCCAATTTTAAGAAGTTGGAAATATATTCCAGACATTTCTTACAGTTGATACACAAAACTTTTTTTTCTAGTGTTTGTTTCTATATATTCCTTCAAAATGACTTGAATGTATTACTGCTGATTCTATCTTCAGCAAGATAAGACAGTGTCACTGACCTTCTACATATCTTGAACTATAAATATACTTGAGGCCCATGGCCAGAAAACTAAACATCATCACTCAATGTGTGCTTTAAACACAGGTCCAATTCTGTACTGAAGACTTCTTACTATGATTCAAGGACATGTAGAAACCAAAGGATATAAATATAGGTTACATTTTTGTATTACTGTGTAATAGGATCAATAATTTTTCCAAGCTAGAGCTCCAGCATGTAGAAAATACTTTTACTGATTTTAACAAATTAACATAATGTGACATATTAGGCAGCCTTTAGAATTTGATTTTAAACCCATGAAAGTAAGTTAAAGTGCTTAGAAAATTAATTGAAAACATCTAGAAAATAATGTGAGTTGTCTAGCAACATCTCCCAATACATATGTGTGTTGGTAAAAGCTGTGCTTGAAGACATCCTGGCTCATGGCCTTTGCCACAAAACAATTGGGGAATTAGCTTTATCTGGTGCTCTGGGATGTGTTAGCTCAACCAGCTTCACTAGAGTGAGGCCAGAATGTGTCTGTTCTCCTTGGGAGTTCCTAATGGCACTTTGTTTCCTTACCATCAACAGCAGTGGAAGTCATGGTATGGACCTCACCCAAGTGCTTCTGCGAAAGTTTGGAGATAAGGATCCTCTCTGTGCTGATGGTCAGCTGTAAGTATCTGGTGCCTTCTGCACAGCGGAGATGCCAACACCCAAAAATGAGAGACTGGAATGTTGCTTCCCTCCATGATGAATTATTCCATGTTCCAATGTAGGCTACATTGAGCAAAATCAGCTTAATTAATAGGTAGGACATCAGTGGGTTTAATGAATGGGTCTCATTGTATGGAAAGGCTAGAAATAAACTGACTAATTATCTATTCCTATCCTTCATAGACATATGCTCTGTAGAACTACAAAAAATAGTATTATTAGTAGAATTTTTTTGACACGAGAAAAGTCAAAGCTAAAAGGACTTCTATAGCAATTAAGCATACATTATGTGTTAACTGTTATTTGCTTTGTAGAGAAAACTTACACATGTTGAGGCATTATTTTTAAGTTAGTAGGTAACATAGATATTTAGAATTCATGGTAGTGTTCTTTCTGTGTCTGGCTTATTTTATTGTTTATAAGTAGTTCTACTCACATTGCTACATGATTTAATTCTTTATAGCTAAATAATACCCTACTGTCATACATGCTACACTTCATGATTCATTTAGTAGCTTGATACAAAACAGAAAATGCAATCACAACAACTTTTCTGTAGTAATCAAAATGAAAAAAATAGTCACTGTTTTCACCCACAGCCTCGCCATGACCACCTCTGTATCTGTGTAACCTCAGACATACCATTTAAGCTTGAGAAGTTTTGGTTTCCTTCTGTAGTTGGAATATTTATCTAGTGTCACTATTTTGTAGGTAAATTAAAGATCAACCTGGGAATGTATGTCATGGTACCTAGAAGATGCATACAAGCCATAGGTATAGTAATAGTAATAATAATAATAATAACAATTATTATTATTATTATTGTTATGTTTCATTTCTTATTTGGCATCTCAACTATCCCAGGTTGACCTCAAACTTAGTATGTAACTGAATCTGACTTGAACTCCTACCCTTCTTCTGCTGCCTATCCAGGGCTGGGATCAAAGGTGTGTGCTCCATGCCTGGCATTGAAATTCAGATTCCATAGTGGTTTTGCTTCTACTGGTCTATTTAAATCCCGCCCAAACACTGAAATATATTATAGACAGCTCTTCCTCTTACATGAGGAATCTGAAATTTGGAAAAAAAATTATAAATTGTTCAAGGCAATAGAGGAAAGGCCAGAACTTTATGGATAGCCCAGTTGCAATTATCCTAACACCTTGGCCAATCTCTGCATCTATTTGCCTTGATGCATGTCTTTTGGATTGTAATGTTGCCATTTTATGTTTCTGGATAAGTGGCCACTTGCCAGTTTCTCTTAATTTACTGAAAATTATTAAGATTATCATTAATTGCAACATGTATTCTGCCCATGTCTTCCCCTCTGTCCCTCGTCCTCCCTTTCAAATGTATAGACTCTGTTTTCCTTGTCATTGTATACTTACATGTATTTATTGATGTGTTTCTAAATATAACCTACTCAGTGTTGCTAGATATTTGATTATATTATATAAAGATATGTCACTGTGATTGGTTTAATAAAAAAAAATAAATGGCCAATACCTAGGCAGGGGGTATAGCAGGGACTTCTAGACAGAAAGAGGTGGGAGCAGAGAGAGAAAGGTGGGCTCCGGCCCAACACAGAGGAAGCAGGCTGGGCAGTACAGAGTAAAGGTAACCGAGTCACATAAAAGAATGTAGACAAAAAGATATGGGTTAATTTGTTACAAGAAATAGTTAGAAGCAAGCCTAAACTGCAGCTAGGCTTTTGTCATTAATAATACATCTCTATTATGAGACATAATAACGAGCTGTCAATTCATAGAAAAAGCCATCTACATACTTAGTCTGTATAATGTTACTTGTACGCATGTTTCCAGGACTGACCATTTGGTATTGGATAACCAATGGATGCACTCTTCCCTGAGAAAGATAGTTTCTACCATTTAGCATTCCTTAGTTGCTTATAGTTCTTTGAGAAAGGCTGAGGCATCGTGGGCTTTCCCTTGTCTACTTTGGTTTGTCGGTTGGTGTTATTACTGTTCAGCTCATGTTTGGGCAGTTGTGCTGGTGAGACTCATTGAGGTAAAACAACTTTGCATTTAAAACGTAGAATCAGTATTTACAAATGACCATGTTGCATTTAAGTGATGCCCTCAAAACATTCACTTATTGAGCAACACTTCATATTATAGATGGAGACCCTCTAATAGTGATTATCAGAGCCTGGAAAGGGTGGGCAGAGAATGAATAGAGAGAGGAAGATTAATGAGCATAGGTATGTGGTTGGGTGGCAAATATAATTTTTAATGATATGATTGACAACTAAGTATTTCAAAATAGCTTCCACAGCATTTTGATTGTTCCCAATGCAAAGAAATGATAAATGTTTCTGGTGGTGATTTTGTTAATACTCCCAGTTTGATCATTACACACTGCATACATATTAAAATATCACTTTAGCCTGGGGAGTCATCTCAGTGGGTAAGAACACTTATTGTGCAAGCATGAAGACTTGAACTTAGGAATGCCTTCTAGGGCCTATGTGGGGGGAAAAAACTAGGCATGAGTGTGTATGCTTGTAAATCTAGCATTTAGGAGTAAAGAATGACAGAGATCATTGGCCAGCCAGACTATGAAAATATTGAGTTACCAGCACAGGGAGAAAAGCTCTCTCACAGGAATAAAGGCACAGTTCCAAAGAAGATAGCCCATGCCCTCCTCTGACCTTTTTGTCCTTATATGAGGCTACTTATAGACTTGCACACTCACATGCATTTAACACATATGTAAGAACAAAAAACACACACGATATTTCACTGCATATCATGGACATATACCCATTGAAATTATAAAATGAAATGGTAGCCTGTTAGTATATGCTGATTGCTTTGAATAAGACTTCTCTGGGCTCCAAGAGTAACATTGAGGGGATGTCTGGCCTGTGAACCCTATTAAGGCATGCCTTGCTTCATAAGTGGTCCCACACTGTCATTTCCTACAACTTTTATTCCTTGAGGGTCTACTGAAAAATCAAGTGGGATTAGAGGGTTCAAGATTAACACAAAGAATCTGTTCTCTGTTCTAAGAAATTTATAATTATAAATGGAGCAGATATGGCTAGAGTTAAAAGCCATGATGGTGTCTTGGATGCTAGTCTGTCTTTTCAGTGATAAGCATAGAAACTCAGACAAAGAAATTAGGAATATGTCTCCTAGTTCATGATGACGTATTTTGCCCATTAGTCATGCTGGTAATTAGTTGAGACTGGCTGACTACTAATGGTCTCCGTGTGGAAGAATTAAGAGAAAATAAATTATGTTCTTTCACTTCAGTCCTCTCTTGAAACATAAAGTGATTTATTCAGTGAAGGGTTCTGTGTTAATGTTTTCATCTTCTCATCTGTAATGAAAACACACAGGATGTAAAACACATACCTCTGAGTAGCAGAAACAGGAGCACATGTGACACATCTGTGGCCCAAAGTTGTATCAAGGAAAGAATTGTTAGCAGGAAAATAGGACAGGTCTTTTCTATGGTCTCTAAAAAGGAAACACACAGGTTAAATCAATGCTTTATTAATGGCAAAACATATTCAAAAGTCATCTCCTTTACAGCGGTGCCAGTGGCCTCTGCCCAGGCTCTGCCCCCATTCCTGATCTAGAGCTGGTGCCTAGAGTAAGATAGCAGGCTGCGTTGGTAGTGAGGGTAGTTCCTGAGGCCTGACACCACTTCTGTCCAAGCTCATCTGTGAAGATGAATGTGAATATCAGAGGTAGAAAGCACAGAGTGTGAACCTGAGGTATCCAGATGAAGAACACACCAGGATGGATACTAGGCTGCCTCAATCAGATCTCACCCTCACTGGCTATGTGGCCTGGACAGCGTACTCAACCTCTGTCTGTCTTTGTTGGCATTAATGTGTTTGCTCTTGCACAGAAATAACCTTCACTCCAAACAGCAAAGTGTCTCCCAAGGAGCTTTTGTTTCCTTTAAGCAAGTACATATCTCAGAACACTGGTTTTGAGGAGAAAGGAGGACCTTACAGCATCTGTCCCTCTCTTTGAGATTTAGGATGCGTATTATACTATTAAAAATTCCAGGTGTCCATATAGTGCCGAGACCTGTTTAGCCCAAATGTTAGGGACCTCCTGACTTTGTTCAAAACTCATTGACTTAGAAACATCATTGTAGTTGTGTCCTACAGAACATATTAGGGATGTTCTCTGAGAACTACTCAAAGAATATTTAGATTGCTAATATCTAGAAAGAAATTTACAAAGACATGTTTGATTCATAATGGGCAATTTCATTTGCCTTTCTCCCTTATGAGCATTCACAAATTCACAGAAAGTCATTGAATACAAAAATTGTTGGAGGCTAAGATGCTCAAAAAACTAAAATCTGTTAAATAGTATCATGGATTAGCATGCAAATCTCAGTTGTTTTTCTCTGTCAAAGGAAGCTAAAAAAGAGAAGATTAAGAAGGGGCAATATGGATTTAGAAAAAATTCATTAAATTATAAAAAATTGTAGTACTTTCCTTCTATGGCTATAGTTTAATCTCACTGAACAAGGTAATGACCACCAACCCAGTTTTTTTGGTTGAATTAAGCAGGCTTTATTTTCTGTCAGTCAGGGCTATCTCCCTAAAGTGGTGTTGGTGAGAATAGCCCCAAACACAGGAGAAGTTTTACAGGCCCCCAAACTGTAAGGCTAGGGGGCTTCCAAGGGTGTTTGGTTATGTAGTAGCTTGGCAGAACATCTATGAGTATGAAGGTCAGGGTATAAGGTCAAATTCCAGAAAATGGGTTAAGACATGGTCAAACTTAAGTTTTACAGAAATCAGGAATTGATTTATTCTGATCTTGGAACAAGATGGCTTATAATCTTAAGATGGAGTCATATTGGTCCACCAATACAAAATATTTGAAGCCAGATACTTTTTTAGAAAAATAGGTTTATTTAGTTCAGAGTTTTGTTGCAGCATAAGAGGATGGTATGAATATCTGTGTAGCTCTGGTGAACAGCATGATGGTGGGTTTGACAATGGTGGTTTGCACATGAAAGGGAACACATGGTAAGGTAACTGGTCAGAAATGTAGGACCAGGCAATCCTTGCTTACCCTTGTTGGCTAAGTCCCATGGGAACAATGAGTCCATCCCAAGAGCTTATGGCCCTCTGTGATTGGTGACCTTGCACAAGGACTTCCTTGTCAAATGCTGCACCCATCCCAGCACCAATCTTTGAGACCAGATTTTGAGACATGGACTCTGCAGGAAGAGGTCACATCCATGACACAGCCCTCCATACCTGTCACCCAAGGCAACTGCAATAAAAAAGGACTGTTGACTGTGAGAGTCATTTTTTTTTAAACAAAAGTAATTGGGTTATAGACACCTGGTTAAAAAATGTAGCACCCTTAGGCATTCATCCCATGTTAAATTAGGAATCCCTAACTTTATGAGCTAATTATAAGATGATGATGATGATAATGATGATGAGTCTGATTATTTTTCATATTTAGAAAATTGTGTTTGTCTTCCATTGGAGCAACACACCTGTAGACAGAGCCTGGGTTTGGGGTTCAGCTTGGCAGGCCAGCCTTTCTGTTGTGTGACCATCTACTAATGGTGGAAACTCTTATAGCTGCTACCCTGATCTTGAGATTCTGAAAAGCTGGGTGAGCAGAGGATATGATAAAAAAAAAAATCTAATTGCTACCTCTGGGTTAGTAAATGGCAATTTTACTTTTTTTCTCTCAGTATTTGAGTAATTTGGCCCATCTATATGAAAGTAAGACTTGACTTAAAATTGTAAAAAAGCTAATGTCTGGAGCTCTCAAGGATAAAAATCTACACAGAAAAAGAACGTAAAAGCTTTTCTGTGGCCAACCAGATGGCACAGTGGGTAAAAGCCCTTGTGGCTAAACCCAAAGACTTAAGCTTGATTCCCTTGAGACCCACCTGGTAGAAGGCAAAATTTAATTCCCACAATGGTTCTTTGCCTTCCACCATGCAGTATAGCATGTGTACACACACCACACATACCCCAATACACACACACACACACACACACACACACACACACACACACACACACACACAAATAAATAAATGTAGGAAACAATGTATGAGTTGTTTATTCATTCCTACCTACTAACCCTCACAATCTGTCCTTATGTGGAAATTTAATTATAGCTTTTCTATAAATGATTAAATTGCTATAACATGACAGAAGTGAATTAACAGGTCAATTTAATGCAATTAATAAGCAATTATTAGTTGCTTCTCAGTATCTGGTTATGATCTGAGAGTCTTGGGGTCTGCCAAAGAACCCAGCTCTGGGAAGTCACAGAGCCTGTCGCATGCTCAGTGTGAGCAGCCAGTTAATCCCCATGTCACATCATGGAATCCTGGCATGGTCACAAAACATTGTCATCAGATTAGTGGCTCACACTGTGAAAACAAATGACAGAATTCTGTCTTAGCAGCAAGGAGGGGCTGTTTTGTAAACTGTGTTATACTATGGCAGAACATGCATTCATCAAAAGGTCTTTTCAATTCTCCCTTTTGTTCTTTAGGAGAAATTCTTCAAGCTGGCATAGGGACCCTTACTCTGGCCCAGAATTCCAGGAGTCATGCGGCTGCCTGGTATGTTTCTGAAGCACCCTTTGTTGTTTGAAATTTAAAGTTCACATTAAAAAAGATGAATTGCTTCCACCTACCTCTTTTTTTTCTTGCTTAAGTCTCTTTATGTCTATATTTACTTACTAGGTTATTTATGGGAAGTTTTCATCCCTTACGGTGAACATGGTTCCCTTCTTCTATAGCCTCTGCTGCTTGCCCATTCCCTGCTCACACTTAAAACTCTCCCACTGACTCTTCTGCCTGCAATTCCCTGCTCAAGCCCCTTAATCATTATGACACCCCACTAGGATGCAATGAGCAGGTAAGTCCTCTTCAGTTAGAGATGAGAAACTAGACTTTCTTTCCCTTTGCGAGAAATCTCCTCACATCTCACAACAGGGTGACCTCAAGGCTTTCTTTGTAATTTTATTCAAATTCTGAGAACTAGATATTACAACCCAAGATACTTCTCAGGATTTCTAATATGTTTGATATGCCTGTTTTTGAGATGAAGCCCATAGCTACTCTGTCTGTGAAGGAGAACAAATTGAAATTTGTTTGGAAAATTGGTTGCAGTTCATCTCAGAGGAAATATCAGAAGCTAATTAATGAAAGGCATAGATCTATTATCTACAACCAGCCATCAGCTGGTTGTAGATTTACCTGTCAAAATGCTATGGGTGTATTTTAGCTGGTAGAGCACTTACATATAACACACAAAGCCTTAGGTTTGATCTCAGCATTGTATAGAGTAGGCATGGTGGTCCTGCCTGCAATGCCATGACACTGGAGAAAAAAAAAAAAAAAAAGGAGAGATCTTCACTGATCATCCATAAGGGAAATGATCACATGGAGAACACATTAATGGGCCTTTTTAGCTAAAGGCCTATGGGGTCCATTATTTCCAGCAGCTTGATTGGCTTCTGGAGTGTTTCATCTGCTTTCTTCTCATAGACAAAATTCAGGAAAGAGAGAAAGACAATGCAGCTGCACCCTAGGGACTGTGAGGACTGGTGACCTTAAGGTTAGAGCACATTTCCATGTTTCCACTGTGGTCAGGGAACACACCTGCATGCCTTACTTCTTTGTACTGGCCAAAAATCTTTATTGCTTTTCTTCATCTCACTTCTTCCATTTATTATGAAACCTTTAGCGTTGTGCTCTACGCTCTTGCTCTTGAGTCTGGATTTAGTCATTCTTTTACAGTAATGGCTTTTCTTACCACAAGCCTGGAGTCTATTAGGATTAGATCGGGTTTCAAGGGAATAAGGAGAATGAATAACTATCAGAATGGTATTATGGCCTCCAATTCAGCCCAAATCATGTGAAATATAAGATTTCAGTAATATGCATACACCAAAAGAAAGATGCCAAATGAGTGATATCTATGGCAAAAATGCTCAAGAGCAGTGCTATTGTTTTCGTAAGAAACTGTGACACAAGGCTGAGGGAAAACAAGCTTCCAAGGCTGGAATAAAAGTTCAGAGACAGTTTTCCTATTTTCACATATTATACCCCAAAATCTGCTCTCAGAGAAGAGCATTTAATGTGAACTTGGTGGTAGAATGGTAGTCATATGGTTACCATTGGGCTGACCACACCCTCCTTCCTCATTTGATGGGCATTTCATCTAGTAGACTTTAGCAAACGCCCAGCAGGCTGGTTGAGTTTGGCCTCTAACACATATGAAAGAAACATAGGCCTTTGAATTCTCCTGCTTACCCTTCTCCTTCTATTTGCCTCTGACTCTTGCAGCGTCTTCAAATGAAAGATCATGTCAGTGAAAACATCTTCCTTTTTTAGTTCCTATAGATCTGCCCAAAATTACAAGCAAAAAAGGATTTGAAGTTCTTGGATATAATTGGCAGCATAGGTCACAGTGGAATTCTGGGAACCCTTGGCTGCAGGAGGCACTTAAAGAGATTTCAGTCATCAGAATATCTAAAAGGGCTGGAGATAATTTATTGAAAATTTAAAGCTAGGGAAAGTCACATTTAGTTTAAAGTAATGTCAGTAAGCTGAGTGTAGGTTCTCAAAAAGTTTCTATTTTGTGTCTTTGAAAACAATTACAGAAGTGTCCAAATAAAAGTGCCGGGGCTCCCTATCTGACGAATTGCCTGGGACACACACTGCTCAACCTCTCAGGCTACGACGTGGAAGAGTATTTACTAATGCCATCTTCAAAACCAAGGTATGTACAAAACTGTTGGTTGATCTTTACTATTGTTTTTAATTGCAGTTGTCCTTCCACGTGCACAGAGACTGTTTCTAGGAACCCAGAGGATACCCTAATCCATACAAGTTTGAATCCCTTATATAAAATGGTGCTATGGTACTACCATAGACCTCCACTCATTTTCTCACATTCTTTAGTCAAAGCTTGATGACTTATGGTACCTGACATCGTAAAAATGTATGTTAAAGTAGTGATGAATAAAATGTTTGTGTATGTGGAATGTAGCCACAGTTATTTTCTGAATATTTTCCACCAGTAGTTGGTTGAACCCACATGTGTGTGGATCTCATGGGCTTTGAGAGCCAATTGAAATTTGGAAAAACCCATTGTTCCAAGTGGCAATGTGCATTAAAGCTCAAAAGTCTGATACACACTGTAGTGTTCATATGAATTTCAAAGCCAGGCCTTAATAAGGTTCTTTATTGCTGACTTTTAGCCTTTGTAGCATTGGGGGTAATTATTTCAATTGAGATCTCATCATTGCCAGAGGCGGGGGAGCCAGTGGCAGTTTTGGTGCTTCAGGGGATACAGCAGAGGAACTAATGAAATAATGGGCTCTTGTTAAAATTTCCTCTACTGTGTAGCACCTAGTAACGGAACCTGACCGCAAACCATGTCTTATAATTCCTTGTAATTTGGAAATTTTTTTGTGTTGAAATTTTGGAAGCCAATATGTGACTACAGATATGGTAAATAGGTATGAGTGCTTCACATTGCTTTACATGTCAGCAGCTTTCACCATTGTCTTACTTTGGGTTTCTATTGCTGGGAAGAGACACCACAATTATGGCAGCTCTTATAAAGAGACATTTAATTGGGTGGCTTACAGTTCAGAGGTTCAGTCCATTATCATCATGTTGGGGAGCATGCAGTCTCCAGGCAGACATGGTGCTGAAAGAAATAACTGAGAGTCCTGCATCTTGCAGGCAGCATGAAGTTGACTAACATCACATGGAGGGAAGCTTGAACAAAAGAGACCTCAAAGCCTGCCTCCATAGTGACATACTTCTCTAACAAGCCCACACTCCCTTTCGGGCCATTTTTTTCAAACCACCACAACCATCCTGTCAAATTTCCCAAGTCCATAAAACACATTGCATTGCTTCATAGATGCAGACATCCCAAAGGCTGTCCATGCTGCTAGGATACTAAAACACCTTGCATTTGTTTTTTCTCCTTCTTTTCCAGGCCAGTATGTTGCTGTTGCCCTCAACACTGACCTCCTTTGCACTCTGGTTTGTCTGCATCTCTATTGCTTCCTTCCCTCCTAGTATCCTTAAATATATCCTACAACCTCTGCTTTTCTTTTCTCACTGTGATGTGGTAGAAGTTGTGTGCCCAGAACTTAGAATAGTACCTGGCATATCTGAAGTATCTAGTCCATGCTTATTGAGTGGATGAATGAATTCAGTTGAGCCAGATGGGAACACACCCATGTTCCTTAATTTTTGTAGTAAGGATGCTATGGCACAAGCCTGTTGTTCAGTCTTTTTCACCCAGAGACTGAGAAGCCAATATTAATGTGAACCTTTATTTCTGATGTCAACTATGTTGGCAAGCTTAATAAGTATAAGATACCATATAGCCCACTGAAATAAAGTTACATAATTCTCACCCAGAAAAAAAATCCCATTAACTTCCTGAAAGACAAACCAACAAGTTAATGATTACAAAATTCAGTATGGTAATTTGTATAATGGATGGAAGTGTAAGGTATTAGGAAATTCAAAAGAAAAGGAGCATCTCACCCAACTCTAGTTCCATGATGTTTTCTTGAGCAAGGCAAGCTGTGAGTAGTAAAGGAAAGGTGCAGAGCATGACAGCCAAACCAGGTGGTTATAAGATTGCACTGGGGCAAGTCATCTTGAATAGTGGGTTTGAAGGGAGGGGGCATGCCTACGAATTAAAAAAAAAAAAAAGCACAAAGACTCATAACGAATTCCATCCATGGTGTTTGTTTCCTACTAAGTTCTAATAAATACAGCTTCTAGTATGGTGAGCCATGTCTATTCCTTCTCCATCAGCAATACTCCTTCTGAGTGCTAGAATAAGGTTGGGTCATTCTCACCAGCAGCAGTCTCAATTTGTGCAGTCTTCCAATGGTTCTGACATGCTCAGAAGTCTTGAGATAACTGAAAGTACTATGTTGGTTCTGACTAGCCCTTTGGGTGGAAGTCCTGGTACCCTGATTGGATTAATTTCGTGTTTACTCCTAACAGGCTTGGAGGTTGGTCTTTTGGAGTACAAATTCCCAATGAAGTTGAGGATGTGAAGACAAACACATCAAAGCAAAGAACTTTGGCAAAGGTAATAGAATTCCACTTCCTTATGTTTTAGAGACTATTTAGACAAACAAAATCCCAAATACATTTGTGCACAGGCTTACTGAAAGCAGATCAAATTCCAGTGTTCATTACTAAACATTGATGATGATTGTGTTATGAAGATCCTCTTGAGAGAGAAAAATGAGTTGACTCTTTTTAGAGGGTGTAGAAATACAACAAACTGTTTACTACATTTTGTTTAGATAGATTTTCATCTATTAGACTAAGGTAAATGAAAGGCTAATCTACTCTTTGAGATGCCTATGGTTGCCTTGAATGGAACTACCACCACTGTTCATGGTTGTCAAGGAATTCTCCATGTATGGAGTTGAACTCTTCATCTTCCAAAAGGTTGTGTGCATATCAGCCTAACAAAAACAAGTCAGTTCCTCAGGATGACTCGTAAGGGCTCTGGATTTCTGTGTCCTAGCAAGTGTACCCTAGGAATTAGGCATATTCCTTTCAGAATTACAAGAAGAAAGTAGAAGGTTCTTCAGTTGGGAGGGAGTGAGGATTGGATACATGACTGTTTATCCAAAATGGAAATACAGAAATGATAATGATAAAAAACAGTCAGCATAAGTTGAAAATGGGTAGAAATGAAAGGATCAGTGCTTTTAGTCTCTGTGATTGGAGGAGAAGAGCATTGAGAGACAGCTTAGAAAATATAGGTTAGGGGAGAAAACTAATTCTAGTATGAAGGAGTGAGTGAAGAGATGGCCAAATAATTTCTTTCTTAGTGTGCAGGTATCCCATGTGCTCATAAACTCACCATGGAACCAGGAACCATTGCCTCTCCCATGTGCCCAGGAATCACACTCCCTACTGGGATGCAGGGTGTTTGTGTTTCCCATGAAACGGAGAGGCTAATCCACAAAAGCACTTGTGTATGTGATGTTTACTCTGGGGATAAACTCTCTGCACACACTTCACATGTAATCCCCAGAGATAGTCTCAACAGCGGCACTTTATAATCTAATCCCCAAAGAAAATCCCAAATCATAGTATGAAACTGCACGAAACTCCTCCTTTGGCTGAGGCTTCTCTGAATACCTCTTCTTTCAAAATCTATGTGCAAAAAGATTTATAGATCTCAGCATCCATAACTTAAAGGGTAATAATTTAAATGGATCCATTGGTTTAAATTAAAAGTATTCTGTAGATATGGTTAAAATATGAGGAATTTCAAAATGCTCCTGTTGATTTGTAACAATGCCTTGATTTTTCTACTCAAGTCCAAACACTCCATGTTGCTATCACATGTCTGTGTCTTTGCTTTTAGACTTCAGAGAATAAGTCTCTTAACCAGTGATAGGATAGAACTGGCTTGTGAGTTGTTCTGACTCTTGTTTCTGTTGGTCCTTATTACTCTTCTGCATTTTGTTCTCTACTGGCATTTGAAAGAGCTCTGTTTGATCCTTTGGGAAACATACTTTTTTTTTTCTAGGAAACCGGATTATCCTAGAGAGGAGCAAAGGGCTCGGTTATCTGAGCCCAGAGGTGCCGGGTGTCCTGTCAAATGATGGTATTATCCTTTTCCTTCAGCTTTCTGGCTGTATTCCTAAGACACAGGTGGTGATTTTCATTGTTCTTTTGAAGGAAAAGTGGAAATTTGGATGTGATGATGCCTAGTACATGATTCAATTCAGAGAGTATAGCAGGCTTCTCATGGACATTTCCCTGACAGCCTCACTCACAACTCCAGTGTTTTATTCTTATTTAATCCAAATTCACTTTCAATCGTATGCATTTCACACAAGAAGGCCAAACACATTACTCACAAGTGCATGTGTATGTGAGCATGTGCATACATGTACCTGTGTGCTAGTGTGTGTGTGTGGGTGGGTGTGTGTAAAACATTCCCTCCTGCCTATGATTTTACACAGGTGAATATACCCAGACAGACTTTATTTTCTTCCTTTAATTACCTGCGATTCCTGAGTGCAAAGATCTGGAGGTAACACAATCTGTTCCTACAAGGTTAACTTCCTATCTCCCTTACTGAACTTTCTCACTTTCTGTCTTTTCAGCTAACAAGGAAATAAATCCCATAATTATTTCCTGAGCATGATGTAGTTTTAGAAAATAATTTTTTGAAGGAAAAGAAACCACATTTTATTTGAATACTGCAAAATCCTTAGCACAAATTTTAAGATCATCTTAAAATTTAGTTGATTAAAAATTTAATAAAGGTCCTCTTAAGTGGAGATCACTTAATTAAAAAAAAAAAACCGACAGAGGAGCTCAAGAACACTTTAAATTATTCTCCTGGAATCTCACATACTCAGTTCTTCATTGAAAAAAAAAAACAACCCTAAAACAAATAAACAAACAAAAAAGCAAATAAACATAAAAACAACTCGAGCAGATAGCTACAAGTGGTCAGTAGCATCGTCAGTACTGGAGCATTTAGTCCATGACTGCCAGGTGGACAGCAGCTGTGGGCTGTGCCTAGCAATGCCACCTGGTATCTGGCTCTGAGATGCTTCTAAGCTGGACCCTGGTACTGCCTCTGGGGAATATTCCCCACTCCATCCTTTGCAAAGGTCTGTAACTCTATTCTCTGGAAACATTTCCTCATCTTCCTGCATGGCTGCATGTGAAGAGGCTGTGTAGATGTGTGCCCCTGAGCAACCCCTCAGCTAGCCTGCAGAAAGCTGGGCTGTAGCTTACTCTACCAGTGGGCATTCAGTTCTGTTGATGTTGATTCCGGGGTGCTGCTCTCTGCACAGCATCTAGGCTGTTTGTTTATGTAATTAAGGGCCACCTGTGGTTCTTGTTGAGACAAGAACTTAGTGAGTTCTTAAATTTAATTACTGGGATTTGGGGAATGTCAGATACCAGGGAGCATCACACACCTTCAAGTACAAGGAAGGTTCTTCTGTTCCTTTGAGAGGGCCACTTGCACAACTCTTGTTATTTTAATATGAAGTTCTATCTCTACGCATGTTGCTTAGAAAACTTCAACCCTGGTCTGTTGGGCACAACTTCTATGTTTTGTCTTCAGACATACCACAGGTGACATTTTGACAAATGTGTAATAAGGACCCATGTTTATCAGTGGTTCACAGTGGCTACCTTGCCACTTTCTCCAGCACTTCTGCACATTAACTCCCTACTCCCCAAGCCCTATAAGTGTCTCTTGTCACCTAGGTGCTAATTTTAAAGTGGTGCCTTGTATTTTCCGTTTCTGTGGCAGTCACACCTCCTGGCAGTGTTAATTACTCTGTCAGTTATCTGTTATCCCTTCCCACTCCAACACTGAATCTCAGGATTTCCACATCTCAGAGGCCTCTGGACAAGGGTCACTTATTTAGCTCAGAGTCTCATCTCAAAGGATCAAGGAACAGGGATGAGAAATGTGGGCTATTAACTGTTCTAGAATAGAAACCACTGAGCCCAGGGGGATGAGGCCTGGGGGTAGGCAGAGGCTCCTAACTCCCCAGCTCTGTTATCCCCTCAACACTACCACCTTGCTGTTGATATTACTGTTCTGAGATATTGTGAGCTCAAATACAGCAGTCTGTTAAAAACAGACAGGTAAAATCAAAATTAGAATTTGAAAATTTCTGATACAGGGTGGAGACTACGGTATCTTCCCTTGCCCCGATCTTTCTCTTTTTCCTTCTCGTGTGTGTGTGTGTGTGTGTGTGTGTGTGTGTGTGTGTGTGTGTGTGTGTGTGTGTGTGTGTGTGTGTGAGAGAGAGAGAGAGAGAGAGAGAGAGGATATAGACTGTGAGGGAAACTTCTGAATTTCTGTTAGGCCAAAGAGGTAAACATACTTCTGATATTTAATCCAGAATCCTTTAGCTCAGTGCTTACCCCATCCCAGCACACCGGCCTCAATCTGCTTTGCAGGATTATAGCACTAAAATGCCCTACATTTGGAAGTGGGGTTTACCCATGCTCTGCCATTATCTTTAGATAAAGTTTCAGCACTCATAGAATATCTTGACTTATCTGTTTAATAGGTTTCAAGATGTCTTCCTTTCCCTTGCAGCTTAAAAGATGACTTTGTAGTGTAAATAAGGAGTTGGAAACAGGAGTGAGTTGTGTGAAAGATGGGGTTCTTGTCTCCTAGAATGAAAGAATTGGGAAACATTGGCTTGTATAGTAGTGGGTTTTTATTTTAGTTCATATTTATAGCATTTCATTACTTAGCTGTTCCCACAGACTACTACTTACAGTCCCTGTAAAATACACTTAGTCACATAAGGATGGAGGAAAAGTGACTTGAGGTCTAGCTCTCACTTGTATAAACTTGTGTGTAAATTTGAGACTGCTCCTTGAGGGCTAATTTTCTATGGGGTAGCTCTTCCTTTTCAAAGTAGATTATCTCTTGCTAAACAACATTGCTAGAGTTATGTGCTCTACTACTGATGAATTAAGACCCAAATATACTAGCTGGCAGGTTGTATTTCTTGAAGACAGTAGCATTGTAGACTTACCAAACATAATTTATTTTTTATTAAAATCTTCATATTTTGATTTTGAGGAAAAGGAAGCAGTTGTTCAGTTAATGCTTTTTTTTAATGATATTTGGTATCTGTTCTTACAAACATGGTCTTTCTCTTTTCTCCTTACCTTTCTCATACCAAAAGGTACATTGCTTTATTCTCTATTCTCAACAAATGTTCAATTTATTTTGAGAAATAATGTTCCATGTGCGGTTATTAAATTGAAAGTAATCATTTTTTTCTGATCATCTTCCACGCCTTTAATTTGCAGGTCAAATTTCATTAGCTTACCAACTGAGAAAGAAAATAAAATAATGGGCTTTGGTCCCAAATCCTATGAGACTATAATTATAAAGCAACATTTGCATTTGTTCTGGGGAAAATTAATCTATTTTTAGCTGTAAATTATATGCTTGAGATAAATATAAAATTAGCAGACTGGAATTGGCTGTCACTGTCAGCCATGAGGGAACACTGCTCTGAGGCCTGTGTTCAGGTGCTGTTGAAGCTTAGAGACGCACAAGCAAAGTTAAGAGCCACTTTCATGAAATTTGTCATCTTTTTCTCTTCCAGGTGTGGTATAACCAGAAGGGTTTCCATTCTCTCCCTTCCTACCTAAATCATCTTAACAACCTGATCTTATGGCAACACTTACCGACTGATGCTGCAGACTGGAGACAATATGGTAATGTTATTTTTTATGCAATGTCACTAACTACTTCCAGCCTAATAGTATTTGTTTTCTTTTTGGATTTTCTAGACAGCTCTGTAGACCAGGCTGGCCTCGAACTCACAGAGATATGCCTGCCTGTGCTTCCTGAGTGCTGAGATTGAAGGTGTTTGCCACCAATGCCAAGATCTTAATAGTATTTTTAAAAGTGAAAGATGCATTCTAAGAAAATGAAGAATGATAAGCAGTTCCATATTAGACATTGCCTGCATAAAAACACACCAAGTTCTGGGCTCTCTCTGTTTCTCACATTAAATGTCCAACTTCTTGGAATTGTAACCTTGTCTGTGAAACAAAAGGTGTTCTCAGAGTTTATTTCAAAAATTACTCCGCAGTTTAATATCACACAGAAGCAAAATTAATTCAATTTTTAAGGACATTATCATATGGAATATTGCAGTGGAGAACAAAAGATTTCCCTAATGTGTTACCATTAGGAAAGTGAACATTGTAATTTGATTTATGTTGGCTCCTCTTCTCATCAGTCCCCTGTGTCAACTACTGACTGATTACCTATGCTTTCTTATTTTGGTAAATGGCTTAGGTCCATTTTTGGTGTTCAGAGGAGTTGATTTCTTGGTTGAGGGGAATCTCCCGGCTCTAGTTGAGTAGAGAAGCAATAATTTATCAAGTTAATTCAGTGTCATTATGTAAAAAAGAAAAAATCAGGAAGCATGAGCAACAACAGGTCATACCTGTTATAGTCTATTTCAGTTATGTTTGTGGAAGTATCATTGCTCAGGGAGGTCAGTGCTGAGCAGTTACTCTGAATTGGCTCCCTCTGCTTGCTTTTACAATTTGTTCCACATTTCCTACCTTTTGTTTCACATTTCCTACCTGCTTTCTTTTTTTCTTTTCTTTCCTTTTATATGTATGGAGTGTTTCTCCTGCATATGTATGCCATGCATGTCATGCGCATGTCTTGTGCCCTAAGAGGTCAAAAGAGTTCATTGGATTCCAGGAAACTGGATTTGCAGATGGTTGTGAGCCATCACTTTAGTCCTGGGAATTAAATCCAGTTCCTCTGAAAGAGAGACAAATAGTATAAACCATTGAACCATGTCTCCAGTAACCTTACCTTTTTTACTTTTGCGTTCTGTTGTGGTGTTGGTTTTTGTGGTTGCCTTATACACACCTGTGGCAAGTAGTCTACCTGTCCCTATGGCTCCAGCCTGATAAAACCATTTTAAATGAGATAAGCTTGTTTTTTAATACCCTAATGATGTATAATGATAGTGAGAAATATCAAATACTTAATGTGTATGGCCATGAGAAGCACAAAAGTCATATAGAATAGGGACAAAAGAAGGGTATTTATTAAGTGTCTAGGTAATATCAGGAACTTCAGAAGGATTAAATATGCATAGTTCCTTTAATTTTTCATGTCAAAATTTGTAAGATAATGTTTAGTAGATAATTCCATTGAGACTGGGCTTCACAACTTTGCACTTTGTGGTTTTCTGTAATACTCTCCATCTGTTGCATAGCGAAGTTTCCTTGACAAAGTATGAAGACTGCACTTATCTGTGGGTATAAGGGCAGATGCTTATAGATTTTTGTTAGGGATTATGTTGGTTTAGTAAACTAGTGCTTGTAACTTTTCCTTAAATAACCATGGCTTCACTCTCATATTAGGTTAGGCTTCTAATACCAGGCATGGTTTCTTTCCAGTTTAGGGAACATGGAAGATGGAGTGGAAAGATTGTAAGAGCCAGAGATTCAGGGAATTTTCTGTGAGATTCTGTCTCCTAGTAATATAAGGAGCTTATACCACTAAAGTCTCACTGATAAGACTGCCCAAACATGAACTGAACAAGGAGGACACTAGAAAATATGCCAACCTGGATGGGGAAGAGCCCACGAGGCCAAGGCCTCAAGCCTTCACAAAGAACTATAAGCAGCTAAGGAAAGCTGAGAACGAGAGATCTAGCCTTCTCCTGGGAAGAGTAAATCAGTTGGTTGTTCAGTGTCAAACAGTCAACTCTGGAAATATACACACAGGTAGTATTATATAGAGTGAGCCAATTATTTTTAGGAATATATAAATATATACATATGTCACTTTTCTCTCATGTCCAACTTAATGGTCCTTTTATTTTTTTTGTGGAATTCTCCATCAAGGAGTATAACAGTGGCTCTTGAATGATGAACAGTAGTTTGAGGTCACCTGGGCATTTTAGAGGTCAGCACTACTGATCAGTCCTGGAGTGCCTGCTTCAGATTTCAACTACCTCATCTCTGAAATATTTTTTCCCCCTAAATCCCACTTGGCCTTGACTGATGCTGTAAGGAGGAAGGGCCTTTTTTTAGTTTGTCAGTAGATAATCTTTCCCAGTACTTAAGATAAGAATAGTATTGTAAAAAGAATATGTAAGAAAGAATGAAAGAAACGTAAGAAGGTGTTTCTCAAATGTAAAAGTATCTAGGAAAGATTGGGGTGAATCAGGAGAAAAGAACACACGAAGGTTCAAACAGATGGGAGAAAGTTTGGGGCCCTAGGGATGGGATAAGAAAGGACCTAAGAGCTCAATTAGAAACTTGTTCTTCTGGGCTGAATGACTGATGTCAGAGCTGACCACCCTTTAAGAAATGTTAGGAGGAAGGGGTGCCACAAAGAAGGTACAGGGTGCTTTTTGAGGGGCCGGTATTGTATGAGTAGGTGAAATTTTGCAGTAGGGTCCAGAACACTGGAGAGGAGAGATCAGAGCAGTCATAGCAGCCTTGGTCCCAGCCTTCCCCTAAAAGTGCTGGGTAAAGGTAATCAGATAAGCAACCCAGGATTGGCTTGCATATTCTGCCAGTGAACAAGTCAGGATATCAAACTGCCATCTGCTCTCCATGGCCTGTGTCTGGAAGGACAACTAACTGTTGTTCCTTCCATTTCCTGTCCCCTCCCTTTCTGTTTGTGTTAGGCTTTCCCTCCTCTGATGTGTCTGATATTTTTCTACCCCTCATCAGCTTCCTACCTTGGCATGCATGGTCCTCAATTGTGTCTCTTTGTTCCACTGGACTCCTGTGCTGCAGGCTGCTGCTCACCAACTCCCATTCCTTCTCTCAGGTTTGGTTGGAGGAGCAGAGTGGCCACCATTACTAAGGTTCATTCCCAACAAATAGTACGAATGGTCTAAGCTATGGGAACTTCTTTCCCACTGCAGTACCTACCGTGATGGACTGTTTTACTGCAAATAAAGTGGTCTCAGTCAGCAAGATGTCAGAGGAGAAAGCTTGAGGCCATGGCTCCCCCAGGGATATGTTACAGGAAAACTAGAAATGAACTAGATGGAATCGAGAAAAAGTAAGGAACTGAATGTGACTTTTATTTGGTTTTGTTCCATCTCCCTTGGGTGTGTACTACTGTAGTTTCAGAGAAGCCCAAGTATCTTCCTGTGAACTGGAGAGAGCAGAACCGCCAGAATTTTAAGCTGTCCATTCTACTCTGTTTCTAAATTGCCTGAGAGTCTCTCTGTGTGTATATGAGGTTCTGATAACAAAAGATGCTCAAATGTCAGACCAGAAGTCAGCAAGCAGTGATTACCTGTTAATATCACAAGGGAGGGCTGCAGACTGGCAGATGCCAGGGGCAGAAAACTGCAGAATGCGAATCTCAGCTAAGGCACTAGAGGAAGCAGCAGTGTGATTCTCGGTGAAAATCAAGTGAAAATGAAGCGTTTCAAGTCAGCCTTGCATGGAGAAGAATTGGACAAAGAGTTTGCAGGAAACAGGAAAGGCCTGGGAACCCAGCCCAAGCAATTGCATAACACAGAACTAATATGCAGTGTGTGTGTGTATGTGTGTGTGTGTGATCCTCCCCTGACTCTTTGAGATAAAGATTTCCCCATATATCACAGCCTGGCCTGAAATTCACGATCCTTCTGTCTGCAACCATTTAGTGAGATTAGAGACCTCTGCTATCATGCCTTACTTATGTTTGCAAATGCTTAATTTTAAGCACAATTGTACAAAGTTTCTCAAAACATTGGTTCTATTATGATTCAAGTAGGGTGATACCAAGAGATAAGGAGATAATTGCCTTTGAAGGGTGGGTTATTAAACTCACAGGTTCTAAGGAAGGGGACTTGCTATCCATGAGAGCCCACATGGCAGGCTCTGAGGTCACTGGGGAGAGAGCAAAAGGAAATGTTGGTGTGCTTCTGCAGAGAACAGTATTGAGGCCTGGGAGGCAGATTCAGAATTGGTTGGAGGAGTGAGTGCTGTGAGGGGTGTGTTATACGAAGGGGCCTAGTTACTGCCTAGTATGTTGGTGATTAGGGTAGAGGATACCAGAGCAATGTTGCCTGGACCACAGTTGTCCATCGATCATGTTTATACTCCCTGCCAGATAACCAGGCATCCTGATGATGGTCATCTCAGAAGCATCTACTTACAGCAGTGGGCTCTTTATTTGTTGAGAAGCTGGGTTGGACTTCAAAAACACATTTGTTCTCTGTTATTGGAAATTTCTCTAAAGATATTTTATTTGTTTTCTTTATATCAAAGTTTCAATTTTTGACTTGTTTATGTGCTCAGTGCTTGAAAGGAAGTTCTGTGCAATAAATTGGGAACACAGAAGACAACACGGCAGGAGGGTACACTGTGAGTTGTTATTAAAATATTGACTAAGAACTCCCACTAGCAAAGCTTTGAGCAAAAATATTCTATCACATCCCTTTTCACTTGCCCGTTCATGTGGGAATTGGACAGAGCTGTATCTATGAGCTTAATATTATAATGAAAGCAAAGCTTAGCCAGGGGAGGAGGTTGACAACAGATGCCTAATCTTATCCTCAGCTTTGACCCCAGTAGCCCCATAACACAAGGGTTCAGGAGCCTCCAGATAACAGAAGCCAAAACACAGGTCTCTGAACTACACAGTTAGTCCTCTAATCACTGTGTTGGCTGGTACAGGCATTCTTGTCTTACAGATAAAGGAATTTTAAGAGTCCTATCCTGTCAAC